TCTGGCACATTAATCAAGTAATCAAGGTTAATTACCAATAAGACATAATAATATAAAGGAAAAAAGGGGCCGGCGAGATAGCTCAGTGGACTAAGCAACTGCTTTGTCAAGTGCAGGAACCAGGGTTTGATCCCCAGTCCCACATGCTGTGTTGGCAACCAAATCTGGGCGTGATGGTGCATGCCTGTAATCTCAGTGCTGGGGAGGCTGAAAACAGGAAGATCACTATGAGTCGAAGCTGTATAGTGAGACCCTGTACCAAACACATAAAATGAAAATAAAGAAAAAAGGGGAAAAATGGTTCTGAATTCAATCCCAAGTGCTACCAATGTATATTTAAAGGGCAAAGAACCAGCAAAGACATTTCTCAAGATAATACAAATGGCCAATTGGTCAATGAAAACATTAATCATCATGGAAAAAATCAAAACTACAGTGAATATTATCTCACAGTTGTTACCATGGCTATCATAAAAGAGACAGAGATGAGTGCTGGCAAAGAATTGACCAAAAGGGAATCCATGTACACTTGGGAATGTAAACTACTACAGCCATTAGGGAAAATAGCAAATATAGAACACTTAAAATAGAACGATCATATGTTCCAGTATATGCCCCAATGTTGAAGAGCTATCTACAGGGACTGGGGAGATGGCTCAGTAGAAAAAGCGCTTGCCTGGCAAGTACAAGAGTCTGAGTTCAATCCCCGGTTCCACACACACACACACACACACACACACACACACACACAAAACCTATCTACAATCCCACGTTCATTCCACCTTTATTCACAACAGCCAAGATGTAGAATCAACATAATGTCCATTGATGGATAGATAAAATGCTATATACAATAAAATAATATTCTGCCTTTAAAAGAAGGAAATCCTGTCATTTGTGGAAACATGAATATACTCAGAGAATATTAAATAAGCAGAGAAACATTCTGTACAACCTCACTTAGACTCAAAATGTTGAACTCAGCAGAGAGCAGGATGGTGATTATGAGGGACTGGGTTGTGGGGAATGAGAAGCTAACTGAAGGGCATAAAGTTTCACTTAAAATGAATGAGTTCAGAGATTTGTTGTATGACTTGTTAATATGTTGTATACATGAAAACTGCTAAGACAGTTCACCTTGAATGTCCTTAACTCACACATATAGATGTGAGGTAATATATATTAAATTGACTTATTCATTTCACATCACATGATAAACTGTAAATGTAGATGGTATGTGTCAATTATGCCTGAAAGCTGGGGGAGCATAGCATTGTCTAACATGATGAATATATCACTTCGATGATACTAATGTACAATCTCAGTATAATCAGAAAAAAACTGGATCATACTCAAATTGAAAGATATTCCACAAAATAACAGGCTTATATTCTTCAAACGTATCTAAAATTATGAATGACAAAAAGGATGAGGAAGGGACTGGGGAGACAGCTCAGTAGAATAAGTGCTTGCCTGACAAGAGCAAGGGCCTGAGTTCAATCCCTGGCTCCACAAAAAAAAAAAAAAAAAAGAGGATGAGGAATTGTTATAGGTTGGAGGAGACTAAACAGGTAAATGTAATGTGGGACGCTGACTGGATTCTGGTCTAGACAAAGAGTGTTTTAATTCAAGTAACAATTATAACTTAAAAAAATAAGAATTATATTTAAAACACATCAAGAGTAATTTTCTGTTTATATAATAGTACTGTGGTTATATGCCAATACTAGAGGAAGCTGGGTACAGGCTACATAAAAATCTTTTGTAACATCTAAGTCTAAAATTACTTCAAAATAAATAAAAGCAAGACTTGGAAGTTTCTCAAAGTCTTCTGCTCTTCACATCTACACTTTTATAACATTCCCACAACTGAGCTGAAGGAAAGGCAGTAGATCAGGTCAGTCAGCCATTTTGTCAGAAAAATAAAAAACAAAACATTTTCAAGGATTCTTGCATTTGGAATGTTGCCCCCCTTTATTTTATGGTTTTTAAATTACAAAACTAACATGTTGTTAACAAGTAAAATAACACAAAGATATATAAAGTACACAACTATTTTATATTCCCTCTTACCAAGATAGCAAATGCTACTTTATATTTTTCCACAATTGTCCTTGCTTATACAAACATACACATGCATATATAATATTCACATGGGACTTTTAACATTTTCATTCATTTATTATTGTGGCTGGGGTCTTGAGAATGCTAAGCAAGCACTCTACCACTAGCCCCCAATTTTTATTTTTCTAATGGTATCATATACATTATATAGTCTTTCCCTTTCACTTCACAAATATACCACAAATATCCTACAAATATTAGCTTCCTTTTACCCACTGCTGCCCAATGAATTTGAGGTATGACTTGGTTCAGTCTACCTCTCTTTTTCCCTTTGCAACTTTCTCATAAGCTACCTGTGTCACCCACCTCCCCGCAACTCAGTACAAAACCTTCCATATTTTTCTCCATGCATATAAAATCATACATTACATTCAGAAATACATAGAGACATTTTGTCACTGTTCTACAAAAGATAGTATTTTACATGTACCATTTATCTCACTTTTTTCACTGAAGAAAGCATTGTGTAATTCCACTAGCATGGAACCTATACAATGTAGACATTTTCTTTTTCCCAATTTCCCTACTGACAGGCATTTATTTTTATTCTAGTGAGATTCCATTGCTCTTGTTGTTTTTCTGTTTGTTTGTTTTTTTTGCCATTAGAAACAAGTTATAATAAATACCTATGTTCACCTGTCCTTTTTGTAGTGAGGCAAGGTCTTCCACGGGGAAGATTCTCTAATGTAAAATAAATATTTTGAGTTTTAACAGATGTTTCCAGATTGCTTGTCAAAACAGCAATTTGTATTGCTTTTCAAAATGTTTTCAGTGAGTGTATAAGATTATTTTGTTCTCATAGCGAAAAGCACTCTCAGTACTGTTATCTCATAAATTTAATATATATTCCCTCAAAATTATTGAAGTTAAACATTTTTTGGTAGATCCATCAGTCCCTTAAGAGATAACTCTTCTCTTGTACCAAATACATAAAAAAAGACATGCTTTTCTCACAACTCAGGTATTTTTTTTATATTAAATCTATAATGATTTTACATGAGCCAAAAAAAAAAATTAAGGTCTAATCCAATTCTAAAAGAAGTACATAAGTTATTATCTAATTTTTGTCAGTATTGTTGGTATTTATTATCAATACAGAGAACAGTTCTTGATTTCTATATGCAGCCTTCTTAGAAAATTACCTTAAAATAAGTTGGTCTCTTTATTTATTGGCATCTAACCATATCTTTCTGAAGAAGAGAGAGTTTTTCTTTTTCATTGCTTATACCAATTATTTTAATACTTTCTCGTCATCTCCAAGATAATATTCATGATTTTTTTTTTAAAAATGCCTTCAGTATAACATATACATGAGGTTTTGGTACAGAAACCCTGTAAGTGGATATTATTGATTATAATTTATATTCCATTACATTAGAAATGTTTGCAATTCCCTTGTTAGCATCTGTTGATGGGTAATGATTCTTCTACTTTAAGCCATTAATGTTATTGATATATTTCCTACTACTGAACTGTTACTGCATACTTGAGCTCTAATTTAGACATCACAGTCATAGTTGGTCATCCTTTAGGTATATAACTCAATTTCATTTATCATAATTTAAATTGTGTCTGTATTCATAAGACTCACCTTGAGTTTTGTGAACTCTATTCCGACTTCACATATATTGGATAGTACAGTCTATATACTGAAATATTATCAGTAACTTTGGTATTACTTTAAAAGAGTAATACATAGAATTAATCATGAATTTGTCTAAGACAGGAGTATTTGTTATTTTAGGGAAGGGTCTACAGGGTGTTCAGGGTCTCACTAGTAGATTGGACTTATAGTGATCCACCTGTTTACAGCCTCCCAAGAGCTGGAATTACAGGCTTGTGCCACCATGCCCAGTCTCACATGAGTTTTTTGGGTTTTTTTTTAAGGTGGCACCTGAGCTTGAACTCAGACCCTTGTGCTTGCCAGGCAACCACTTACTTTACTGAGCTATCTCTCCAGCCCCGAGTATTTCGAATATAGAACCTAAATCACTTTTCTAGATGCTTTAGTAACACTTGTTTTTATCATGTTTTATAGTTACTATAATTTTCATGACTTAACAGTTTGCTTTTTAAAACGCATTCATCTCCCATTTTTAAAATATGATCCAAAGTTGTACATGTTATATTTTTTATCATTCATGTTAAAAAAATAACATGTTATTTTTTAATCATGTTTCTATCTGTGGTTACATCTCATTTCCTTTCTCTTTCTGGATTAGGGAAGCATGTCTCAAAGAATATAGATTTCAATTCTGTTTATTTTCCTATATAGACCACATGGTAGCTCAAGGAAACAGATTTTTTCCCCAAACATTGGAATAATGAAGAATTTGGGATATAGTATCCAGGACAATTACAAGAAGTTGTAGGGAAGAAAACTGGATGTTGCTGCTTTAATTTTCTTTTTTCCTTTGCTGCATTAATTTTCAAGAGAAATCAAAGACAAGAAAGAAATTCTAATTCACTGATTTTTGCATGAAATATTTCTGAATTATAAAACCCGTATAAAGAACATCACTTCCAATTTTCTACAAGATATTTTAGGCAAGACTAGGAAACTATGAGCAATGTGTAACAGGGAAGCACTATACTTTGTTAAATAGTGTGCTGCGATTAAGTTCTTCAGAGTTTTGTTTACTCAGTGTCAGATAGTTAAATTATTCCTTAGCTTTAGTGTATTTGCAACAAAAATAACTTTTACTCCTTTCCCTCTCTTGATTAGTTAGTCCTTGAGATCCTGCTTTCCTTTAACTTGTATTATATCTTTCTATTTGTATTTCTTCTTTGGAGTTCTTATACTAGGGAGACTATACAATATTTACACATGTGTGTCTGGTTTACAAAAATAACTTTTAAATAAACTTTTGGCTGACTAACCAGACAACATTAAAAACATTACTTTCTCTTTCAGAGAAGGGCTCAATAACAAATGTGAAACCCATTGACATTTATTATAAGCAAGATGGAGAACATGTACCTGGTCTATTTTGTTGAGGCTCTTACCATTGTATTATTGGTTTTCTGTACTGTTAAGACATGAAAAGAAAATGGTGATATTTAGAATGAAAAACTGGTGTGGGGGAAGAAGGGGAAGATGGCATTCCATGTACTGTGTGATATATAGATTTGATATTCACAATTTATGTGATTCACGTTAACAATTTAAAAATATAAATAATTATTATGTATTACACTGAGGAAAGTACCATCATATACTTCTAAGTCTTTTCACATACATTTTGTAATCTGTTGTTATTCAATATACTTTAAAATTTTATGTCAGAGTAAACATGTTTATACAATATTTTATAAAGTATTTTCCATAGTCTTTCCCTTAAAGTTTTATCATAATTGCAGTACGACTTTCCTTTTGATAAAACATTCTACCTAACTTCATTAAGTTGTTAAAATCTTTCAGGATCAATTCCTATACCCAGTGAAACTGTGTACTGGTAATCAAGGATTCCCCACAATCATTAAATTTTCATTCCTGTAAGCATTCTTTCTAGCATGTATTTTCTGGTGTCTACTTAGGTTTGGCTTCTGGTAGAAAGCTTTGCCACATTCATTGCACCCATAGGGTTTTTCTCCTGTATGAGTCCTCCAATGTTTATTGAGGCATGACTTTTGGCTAAAGCATTTTCCACATTCTCTACAACGGTAGGGTCTTTCTCCAGTATGCATTTTTCGATGTACATTGAGGTAAGACTTCTCACCAAATGACTTTCCACATTCACTGCACACAAAAGGTCTCTCTCCTGTATGTGTTCTCTGATGTTCTGTGCGGTGTGACTTCTGTGTAAAGGCTTTCCCACAAAAAAAGCATTCAAAAGGCCTTACCCCTGTGTGAATTCTCTGGTGTTTAATTAGGGTTGATTTATGTGAAAAGGCTTTCCCACAGTCAGTGCATCCATAAGGCTTCTCCCCTGTGTGACTTCTCTGATGCCTAATGAATTCAGACTTATAGCAAAAGGCTTTCCCACACTCACTACAGACATGAGGTTTTTCTGTAGGTGGAATCCTCTTTCGTTTGTACACAAGAGAATTAGTCACTGCTGATTTATATATAAGTGCTGGGTTATGGCTGAAAGCTTTCTCACAGTGACTGCATCCCCAGGATTTTTCTCCATTAGATCTTTTATCATGGTTGCTGCATTGCAACAATTTCCCATATCCATAACACTCATCTTGTTTTCTTGCATAATTCCTCTTCAAACCAACCAAGTCTAAGTTATCATTCAAACTCTTTCCAGAAGGATCCCAGTTACTGGGCCTTTGAATTGAAGGAAAAAGATCAGTGCTCCGAAGTGATATTTTCCCAAACTTATTACATTCACGGATTTTTCTCATGGACAGTGCTTTCTTGCTGATGAATGCACCTTGCCTGTCTTGCTGTCTCTTCCTCTGGACATCAACTTGCCATATATCTTCTGGAGAAAGTATAAGTAAATCACTCCTTATAAATCTTTGTGTTTATTATAAGCTGTAATAAAATTACTTTAAGAAATGTTCTCAAATTTAAAGCGTATACAGTAGTATATGAACCATAATCAAAAGCGCAGTTCAGGGAAGAGTATTCTATGGTAAAAGATTCAGAACACTGGCACAAATGGAATGCAACATGTCATAGGGTGTACAGAAATAATTCCAAATATGTAATGATACTATGGACGGGGATTGGAAAAGTTGTTCTCAAAGAGCAGTAAAGAAAATATTTTTGGGCTTTATAGGTCATATGGTCTCTCTTACAATTATTTAATTTGCCCATTATAGCAAAAAAACAAGTGCTATGTAAATATAAGATTGTGACTATGTTGCAATGAATCTTCATTCAGAAAAATGGGTGGCTGACCTGTAGATCATGGTTTCCTGACCTTTATAGAATAGAGAGTTTTATACCTCACAGAGGTTGAGAAATCATTCCTAAAATTTATGTGGAACCGGAAAAGACCTAGAATAGCAAAGGCAATCCTGGGCAATAAAGA